GAATATTAAGATCAAGTTGCGAACAAAATTATCTGAAAAATTGGAAAAAAATATTCAACATTTTTCTAGTAAATTCGGTTTAAAGTATAAAGGAAATCTGGCAACGTCTCGATGCTTATACGGCATTTTGACTTAGCACGGTAACGTTGAGGATGATTCTTGACCTATCACGAATATTAAAACCAGAACAGCAGTATGCATAACCTCTATACTCCTTTTCTCTCAAATCTACTTCCCTCATATTTACAGACAGAGATAGCATCTGAGTGCATCACAATGATTATCCGGGTTTTAGAACTAATGGAATGTTTTCGATAATGATTCACCTCTGTAAATAAGTTACTTGTTCTCCGTTTGAAAAAATCTACGAAAAAAATGTTGTATTAGACTGATTTATGGATAAAATTGTTCACATCATCATTTACCCTGGTAAAAATTGGCGGTAGAATCTGTGTTCCAAAATACCATAGACCTACAGTCGGCTGTAAGATTTCCAATTGCTTCTATAGCCGGCAACACAAATTTCTCATAGCCTTTTATAGCCGATGGTGACTAAGCAACAACCTGGCGATAAAGTGTATGCTAAACGTTACTAATTACGGATTCTAGGACTTCGTGAGTTTTTGGAATACTGCTCTCTTTTTGGGCCGTAGTATCTTGATTTATTTTGCGAGGAAAGCTCCGTACTTTTGATGGATGCCTGCCATTACTAATATATTAGAGCGCCTTCAGTTTCGTATGATACTGTGCAATACCTCTGGTGTGAAATAGTTGCTTCAAGTGCCGTGGCAGGCGGGCAGCCAGCGCGAAACACGCATTGGCGCCTACAAACCTAACAGGGATACTTCACGCGTTGCGCAATGCGTGAAGTATCCCTGTTAGGTTTGTAGGCGCCAGTGCGTCGCCGCTCCGCTTTGTGTTAGGCTCTTTATCGATACATGCGATTTTCGATACATGTGATAATCCATGTGTATCGCAGTTTGATGTGTAAACCAACATGTTAGGGAGAATGCTCATTTTAAGGAATTACTTTAATGAATTACAGTTTGAATTAAATTCAAACTCTTTTTCTTTAATTTCACTCATCTGTTTCGGCTATTTCTCTTCGTTGAACATTAACCAGTGTGCAGCAGTGTTTTCAATTCATGACTTTGAAATGTTTGCACACTCTGTATGAATTATTCTCATTTTAATTGATGAAAAAAAAATGTGTAGTAAAGGAAAATATAATGTGCGTTTCGTAAACATTCAGGTGATTCCGTACAAACTTAAGGATTTACAAAGCACACGACGTTCTACACAATTTCTTATTATAGCCGATAGCGAAAAAGCAGCAGCCAGGCGATAAAGTGTAAAGCCCGGCGATAGGAACTATAGCCCGGCTGTATAGTTTTTTATCGCTTCGTTTAGCCCGGCCACATGATTTTTCCCACTTTCTACAACCCAGCTATATGATTTTCTATCGCCTTCTTCAGTAAGAAGCTATATGTATCGCTTTAAGAACTCCTATGGTATTTTGAAACGCAGCTCCTTTCGTCAATTTTTACCAGGGTAGGTTTGAATGAAGAAAATTTCAGATCTTATTAAATCTCCTGAAAAATCTATATTTTTAGACACTTGCAACTCCCACAAAAGTATAGCTCATGTTGCATTCAGGTACTCATACGTTTTTCTGAGAACGATTTATTTCTCGCCGGGGAGCTAAGTGTCGTCAGTTTTCATGGTAAGATTTGAAGAGAAGAATTCAGAGTCAAAACATGTCCCGCTGTTCAAACGAGTGATTACCAATTACTCTTATTATCATCAGTGCATCGTACATACCACACAGTTACCAAATTGTAGTGCTAAGTTTGCCTTTATTGAGCACCTAAAATAAACACCTAATCGCTCGGGAGACTTTGACGATTACAAGCAATTGAGCAAGTTTAGCTCTGGTGCTTTTGAATTAGATAGACCTCCAGTTAGGTTAGGTTCGTCATACTCAATGAAAAAGCAACATATACCTGCAATCAATGAGCGAAGTTGAGTGCCCCTTCCCGTGAAATAATACAAATAACTCCTTCCAACTAACTTTCCATATACAAATAACTTATACCTCATCTGTCCACAAACATCAAACAACCAAAGGGAATAGACCAATGCCAAGGAATGTTTGCAGGGTTGGAGTATAATTTTTCCTAATTCAACTTTCGCGAACAAATCCAAAAGTTCAATAAAAAATTTAAAAATCATTTCGAAAGGGAGAAAAAATTTATCAAAATCCAACCAATCCAAAGCCGACAGTCGAGTTGACGTAGCAAGGCGATGCGTGGATGTGAGTTAGCCAATCAGCAAACAACGCTTCCCCTTCCCGGCTACGTCATCGGCGCCCGCCAAAAATATCGTTTCAAAAAGATCTCATTTTTGGCATTTTCAAAACCGGGTTTCTTTGCCTTTTGGGGTTTATAGAAATCTTAAGAAATTCCCAGGAGCTTATTTCATTCCAAACCTTTAGAAGATAATTTTAAGATCGTAGGTGCAATCAACCTGTCAGAGTCCTTTTAGCCTCTCAAGACCCGGAGATTTCACAATTTTTAAAGTGCTTCAATCCCGAGTCCATTTTTCTTATTCGCATTTTTATCTTTCACAACGTTAAATGTCGCAAAAATTTTAATCGCCCTTTTGCACGTATAAACCATATCGACGGTGAAACTACCAAACCACGTATCTCGGTTTGCGACGTCGCAGACTTCCTGTCATACTTTATTTTTTAAATGAAAAACTACTTAACATCCAGTCTTGAAAATTTCTGTGATTTTTCCTCTTTGTGCGGAGAAAATTCCGTGAAAATTTCAAGGAATGATATTGATTTGGTCTACTTCAAAAAAATAAAATGTGAGCGTAGATTTTTAAACACCGCAAACGAGATACGTGGTTTGGTAGTTTCACCGTCGATATGTAGAACAACAGAACTCGTCTAGAAGTTATTCAATGATGTCAGTGCAGCGCTCTGGCGTCTCAAATTAGAACTCAGAGTCGATTTGCCACCGAGTCTTTAGCACTATCTACTAAAACAAATGGCAAGACGTCCCGTCCCTGGGGTTTAGAACTTCAGATAACGGGATCATTGATGCATCTTCTAGGAGTCTGCACTGGTAAAAAAAAAAACCTCTTGGACCAATGCCGCATTGCATTGACTTAAGAGTACAGTTTCTTGTCGCCGGATTTAAGAGTCTTGAACTCTTGTTTCAAGCGGATTTTGCATTGATTTAAGCGGATTTTGCATTGATTTAAGCAGATTTTGCATTGAAACAAGAGTCCAGACTCTTAAATCCGGCGACAAGAAACTGCACTCTTCAACCAAGAGGTTTTTTTTTCACCAGTGTGATGTCATAAGGTATATCATATAGTTTGCGCAGTTTTCGGAATCTTGAACCAACTTGGTCCATCCTGCATTCCTTTGCCCATTCTCTTTTTTCATTCATTCTCCGTTTCCGGGGCAGCACGCGGCATCAGCGGTGCAAAGACGAAAATCACTCCCGAGAGCCGGAAAAGAGAAAACTCGCGTGGAAATTGGCAGCCGCGACTGTCCAAATGATAAGTGTCACATACGTCGCCATTGCCGAATCCCACGGAAAACCATCCGGCTCTCACATGACGACCCCTCCCCCATCCTTCCTCTCTTCGTCTTCGCCCCCTCGACCCGCTCCCTTCCCGGAATGGGTGCATGGCACATTCCCGCCGCGGCAGTATCGCACGTCACGTGACATTTCGCACCGCGCGAATAGTCGCGGACAACCAATCAGTCTCGTCTGCCGCCGAGTGTCACTCTCTTGTTTATCATTGCCCAAAATTGGCGCCCGTCCAGCGTTGCTCGGATTCGTTTACTTTTCGTCGCTTCTTTGGGAAAGCCCGAGGATTCTTCGTCGAACCGGCAACAAGGGGCGCCACGAATTTGACAGTGATGCGAAACAACGCGCGACGTTTATTTGAACTACTCTGGCTCTTTGATTGTCATATGGAGTGCGTCAAGAGGAATAGGGTTTCGTGGTAATAGGTGCAAAAAATCGGTGGATTCAAGAACGCTTTCCCTGACGGTCGAGGAATCCCTCAACCCGATGACTTGAGGAATCCCAAGGGAAACACTTTTAGACGTAATACAAACAAGTTCAGTTTTGTATTGTTCAGAACTTAATTTATTTTTGTAGAGTATTTTTGTCAATATGAGCCCATTATCAACGATTCTGTCCTTTATGGTTATTTCCTGTTAATTTCCTGATATCTGTATAGTTTTCAAATTTAAGTCTACAACGCTATTCCTCAGCTATTTCAAAATTGGAATATAGATTAAGTTACGTGTTCTGCACTCCGAAAAAAACGGTGCTGCAGTAACACCACAGATGTTAGAAAAATGTGCGACAACTCTTGGATGTAGACATTAACACTCTGGTAACATCCTTGGATGTTACTTTCACATCCGTTAATTTGATCATGAGTCGATCGTTATTTTCTTGATACAGTGATCTTGTAGGGAAAAGATATCACGTATCTGGTAGCATTTAACATAATTTTGGTGAGTGCAGTTTTATAGAGTTCCGGTAAGTATTGTCATAGAGTCTGTTGGTGATTACCATACTCATATCACTATCTCTCAAACCATTTTTTGTCGGTGGTTTGTAGGCTATCACATTCAGACATTTGGACGTATTTCTATCAAACGGAACTAAACGCCAATTTGTGTTCCTTTTGAGGAATTTAGAAACCGGATAGCGCGTTCTGTCAAACGGACCTAAGCGCCATGGAAAAGCATTGCGAGTATAGGACGGAATAAGCCGGACGCCCGATTCCGCCGCCAATCCAAGCCCCCCTCTACCTTTCTCACCCTATGGCGCTTAGGTCCGTTTGATAGAAATACGTCCATTTAAAGGGTCATTGTGTCATCCACGAATCTTTGTAACATCACTACTCTTTTTTTCTTTTGAGATGAAACAACATTAACTTATGTCGTTTTTGTGTCACAGGTCGAGGGAAGAAGAACAAATACGGCTCCCTTCTCCTGATGCCCTTTGTCATGGGCGGAATGATGATCCCCTTAGCGTTCGGAGCTTTGGCATTGTTGGCGGGGAAAGCACTGATCATATCTAAACTGGCCTTGGCACTGGCCGCTCTCATCGGGATGAAGAAATTCGTAGGCGGAGGCGGCGGTGGCCACGCTAGCTACAACGCCGCCTACGAAGTACTCACGCACCCGGCTGGCACGTTCAGGCGGAGCTTCACCGAGGAGGACCTCGCAGCCGCCGCTGCCACGAACCTCGCCTACAGGGCATACATCCCTCTCAACGGGGCTGGAACTCCTCCACCTACCGTCACTGCTACCCTTATAAAAACCTCGTAGTTTCAGGGCCTGAAAAAGAAATAGAAGTATGAGGTTTACAAAAGAAGCAAAGAAGAGCAGATAGTTTATTTACAGGATCTGCATCCTGCAATGTAAAAAAATTTTGGTTGATTTTACCATACTTTGACACACTCAGTGGCTGTGGTAATCAAGAATAGACTCTTAGTAGCAGACACTAGACTGCATGGTAGACCAATGACATGGGGATATGGAAAGCTACCAGAGGTATTTTGTTGATTATTAATTCTCGTAGGAATGTGTCAGAGTATGATAAAATTGACCATAATTTTGTCCAGTCTACTGAGTGGCACGAACTCCCTTCGGTAAGATATACCGTCACGATGGGAAAAAACCACGGTAGATCTGACAATATTAATGCTGATTTCAAGTCGAACCTGTTTAAATTATCTTTCAGTGCCTTAATTGAGGAGACGGTACGTTCTTTCTTTCGGCGATTCTTTCAGTGTTGTTTGGTACCATTCACACGGTGACAGCAAAATTACTGTCAGCTTAAAAATAGATTAGTCATTTTGCCCTATCTAAGTATCTAAGTTGGACTTGAAATCAGCATCCCTTTCTGGATGATAATAGCACGAAGCACGTCCCTTTGATAATTCAGCGTTATTTGGGGATAAGTATCTGAGTGCATCACTTTTTATCCACTGATCTTGTGATGAAAAATATAAGCATTTAAAACCGTTAAATTTCCTAAACTAGGATCGTGCAATGCGTGGTTTTTTCTTATAATTTCTGAATTGGACGAAAAATGTTTAATTTTTTAGGAGACCTCATTTCTCGTGCAAAAAACTTTTTTGAAAAGATAAGCCATCTCTTGAGTATCAATGTATTGTCTCAAATATAAGGAAGAAATAATCTTAGTGTAATAATTCAACAAAATTATTAGACTTCGAAATCTTGAAGATGCATTGCAGTTTTTCATCGTTGAAATATTTTAATCAATTAACCGAGGAGATTTACTTGTTTAGTTCCAAAATTGCAGGTTTTAATTCGACAGCCTTCAGTAAATTGTGATATACCCGTTTACTTTGTAGGCAATAGCCTAAAGATTGTCTCCGTGAATGAGCACTCTCCGATAAAATATGCGTCAAATACCAATTTGACCGTTTTACTTAATTTATTACTAGCTCTAAATTATATTTTTACCTATCTTTGTGCCACGCTCGTCTCTTAAAGAGACTGTGCCGTTTTTGTAAAATTTACGCGTTGTAAATATAGAATTAACTTATTAAAATGATTTTTTACTGGTTTTCGATTACTATTTTCACTTCCCCGATGAATTCAAATTTCTTTAAAAAATGCGAAAAGGTTATGCATTTATTCCCATATAAAAGGAGACTTAAGTCCAAAAAAAATTTATAATTTGGTATTCCATAGCAATGCCTACAAAAGTGTTTTACAAGCATTGTATGGAAAAATGTTAAAAATTCTAATTCAGACCTGAACTATGGCGGTTTAAAGTTTGCAGTTCAAAAAACGTAGTTTTTTCATTAAAAGTTCCAATCCACCCTATGCAGGATACCTACGGAATTTCCGAACTATTTGAAGATTTTTTTGATTTTTTGAAACGAAAATGAAATAAACCGTTCAAAGCTTATATCTATAAGCACTGCTAAAGAAATTTTCTGCAGAGATATCAAAATTTGATTTTCTGACTCAATACTGCGATAATCTTCAACTAAAAATATTTATTTCGTTGGCTAAGGTTTCCACTTTGAAGGACTGTCACAGTAGTTGAAATTTAAAGCGAGTGTTTTAAGATAATCTCGTGTACCAGTTGCAGCCTCTAAATATTTATTTATGCAGCCTTCATCTTTAAATATATTTTTACGCACGACTTTAAAATTAGTGTCAAGTTATGACTTCAGATGTAATATTTGACATTGCATACGAATACCTCTGATTTACACATGATTTGATTACAAGATAGTTTTAAAATTGCATACTTACAATATATCAATCACACGCAAACTTTATTCCTGTAATTTATTTGAGAGCCCCACAGTAAATGGATAACCACCTGATTGACGCACTATTGTAACTGTTGACGCGCAATGATTTTGAATGCATTATTCGATGACCGAAGTGCGAAATCACGTATCTCCTTGGCGCTGTTTGCTCCTGTTTTATTTTTCCGAGTGGAAACGAGACATCATCATGTCTTCAACTTCATAAGAAAATCCTGCTAACAAAGACGAAAAATGTATGAAGTATTCCAGAGAAAACATAAATAGGGAAGAAGAAAGGAAGTCTGCGATATAGCGAACAGAGATACGTGGTTTCGCATTTGAGCCATAGATTTTGAAAATTAGCACCTGCGCTTGCTGAGAAACATCAAGACACGGCATGTACATTGTCATTCAGTATTGTCGCTAGCTCATTTGGCTCGCCTTCAAGTCGGGAGGATGTTACACTCACGACAGATGTGGAGCGCCAGCGCCACGGGAGATCTCCAACTGTGCTACTTGTCGAGACTTTCCCTCTTACCTCATGCATCCTAGGATGAATATGATAAATGTTACCTCTCAGATGAAACCAATGTAAGTGACAAAGTTCAATAGCGTCCAGTGCCGCTTGTAACTTTAAATTTTCGATGGAGTCCTCTAACTTACACACACTTGACTATCAAATTGGTGGCGCGGCTCATATTTAAAACAAAAAAGTGCGTGCTGATAATGACCAAAACCCAACAATTAGGGTGGAATCTAGGGATTATGTTTAAATCATAAAAATCTATTAATATATGTGATTTTGCCAAGTTGGGCACAAAAACAAAGCTTCCACCCTATTTGGGGAACAAGATCAGGTAGGAAAGTTTTAGCTTACTGCAGCTATGGCAGGCCTTCACGTGTGTTTAGCCTCCTCTTTATGAAGAGAATGTGACCCAGAGGTCAATTTTGTCAGCCATGATGATTAAATCCTACAAATCTCGAGGATAATGATTAGAGAAATTAGCCTACACGTTAAGTTCCCATATCTACAGTATGGCGAATACATCACCATTTCAAGAAATACGGTGATTTTAGGAATCCACTGCATTGCCGAGGGTCGGAAGCCAAATCAGGCACTTTGTCTTTAAATGCCGGACAGTTGGTGTTTCTATAGGTTTACAAAGTTTGGAATATTTTTGACAAAAATATATGAACTTGCATTAATTTGAATACGCCTCAATTATCGATTAAAATACGCATCGTTCTTTAGTGTCACTAATTCATGTTCCCTATTAATTTCATCCGGCAAAAGTATTTTAAATATCATGTCTTTACTTTTATACCGCAAAGTTTGAGATTCTTTCATTTGGGCACTATAAAATATTAGAATACGGCTAAAATGACCTCCAAACTTCCACAGATCATTCTTGCCTACTTAATTAAGCATTTTCAAGTCAAAATTCAATGGAGGATTCAAAATTTCAGGCTGTATAATTGTCTACCTCTATGGACAATTGACTATGCGCCTTGTTTAGCTATTACGTATACCATGATATTATAGAAGGCTAGTTGTTACTGATATAGAAATGCAGTAATTTTATGCGTTAGTTTAGGTCAATATAAAAGTTTAAGATCGAATGAATATGCACGTTGCGTAATAAAATTTGAAAATTTAAACGGAAAAAAAGCGAATTGAACAATGCTTGAAATCCTGTGCACGTCTGTCTACTGACACAAATATTTGCAATTTTATTAAAGTGACTAGAAAGTGTATAAAATACAATATGAAATGTAAAATGAAATTACAAGGGGAACTTTTTTTCAATTTTCAATAATTGCAAAAATAAGGGCTTGTGCATAGGTGAAATACTTGGGAAGTACCTAAAATTTATTAAAACTGATAAACTTGGAAACCACCAATTGAATCATTGACATGTTTAATGAAATACAAAGGAAAAATTAAATCAAATAATGAACAAATAAAATGACACAACCATCGAGTGTTTTTTGTCAGTCAATTAAATGAACATGAAGTAAACGTATCTAACGAGTTTTGTGTGGCTATGGATTTTCCTTCATACCGCAGTGATACGTTTTGAGTCACTTCTGTGTCAGAGACGGTTGCAGTTATCTCAGGCGCTACGTACCTTTGTGAGAGTATGAGCATGAGCACTGCACTTGCTATGGTCTTGAAGAGAGCCCGTCTCACAATCGGTGGAGCACAAACATTCAATACTCCTTTGATGCTACTTATGCCAGTTAGTTTATTTCTTAAATTTGAAAATGATGAAAAAGTACATTGTCATATCAAAAACACGTTACATGGAAAACATGATACATATTACTAGGTGTCGTCTATTGTGATTAATAAAAAAGCTACAGGATAGTTATAGGAGTCCATTGTTTCATATTCAAATAGATTCCACAAACACTAAAAAAATGATTTAAATATAAGAACTAGGAGTCAGGTATGAATAATTCTAAAATAATTAGTGACTCGAGGCTACGCATTTTTTTGTATCTAAAATCTTCTTTTTTTCAACTTCCCATTTAATTTAAAATCCCTTAAATTTGGACGTTTTTGGAATATATCGACGGTGTAAGTGGCAATCACATAACTCGTTTGCGGTGTCTGAAAATCTCCGCCTCTTTGTTATTTTTTTAAACGAGAACAAATTGACATCATTCCTTGAAGGTTTTTCAGAATTTTCTTCGCACAGAGAAGAAAAATCACGGCATTTTTAAAGAATTGTCAATGAATAGTTTTCCGTTTATAAAATGAAGTATGACAGGAAGTCTGGAACGTCGCAAACCGAGTGATGTGATTGCCGACTTACACCGTCGATATGCACAATATATGCGAAATTTGGTTCGAACCAAAAATAACATTAAAAGTCGCCTTTCTTGACGATCTGTTATCCATGACATGACAAACAGGAACATGGCTGTCCCCTAGTTGCTCGTTGACGAAAAGATAGAAGAAGAAGGATGTCTATGAGACAATGTTTTGATTGTAGAGAAATCCAGGGAATCCACATGAATCCTTCCTTCAGAATTCAGATCTTTTTGATCAGATTATCAGACTCGTTGCCTTAACATCTCCACATGTTTTTCTAATAGAGAGAGAGAGCTCGTACATCAAACAACTGAAGTACTTCTTGTTTTGGAAAATCAAAATAAACGGTACGGAGAAAAAAAAACATAATTCATGTGAGGTTCGATTAATCGAAGAACACATTTTTACTTAAAACTCATCGAAGAACATGAAATTGTCTTTGAAAAGTTTTCTGATTTCTTATTTTAAGTTTTTTATTTAGATTTTATACCAGCCCCTAGGCGTAAGTCAAAATATTCCATTAATTCGGTGAATAGTTTATTGAAAAGGTTAAAATCCATCCAACTTCTTAAATGCCCCAGTATTAAAACTACACAAATCTAAATGTCGAAGCAGCGTGATCTTCTTCCCTTCGCCCCGTAATTTCTCGTGTTGCAAGGACAGCGGAGAGAATGGATTCTGAATTGGAAATCGAGCAGACTCGATTGGAAAAATAATGCCGTCGAGAAGACCGAAAAAGGCCCAGGCCGCATCAGGATCAGAAACGGAGAAATGTTAAAGGAGTGGCGCATTTAGAATTCCGAGTTGAGCACAGGCTGGAGCTTCAATGCTGTCTCAATTTGGGAGCCAGTAGGAGCAAGTTTCATCTCGCCTTAGAGTGTTATTTCGTTCATATCTCTCTAAATTTCTCTCTCGTTTTTGTTCATTTTCTATTTGTTTTTTTCTTCCAAGGCATTCGATCCGTCCTGCGGTGGTTTAGCCTTCGTCCTCTTTCTTCTTTCGTTGATCAAACGATATTTGATCTCACATATTTACCAATGTCTTTCCAATTCCTCTATTCACTTTACTTTTGCTTGATTACTATTTTTTGTTGATTTCTTAAGAAACATTTCTGGAACAGATCAATTTTTTTTTTCACATGTGTATCTAAATTTTTTTATACCGCTTGTTTGTTTGTTCTGCTTTTTTCACTTACACTCTCACTTCTACTTAAACTATTTTCAAAAGGACCCGTAGGAAAGCACCTTGCATGATCTTTTAAAAAAATATCTATTCTCAATACGATCATGGCAGAAAAAGCCTGCACAATGCAAATCATGTGATGTACATAACAGTGAAATTTTTGAGAACATGTAACCCTTCACTTTCTTCAATTTCTCGTAACCCAATTCCTTATAAACTTCAGCGTGAATGAAACACAGTTTATGTATT